AAGCCCAAATTTAGGAGTAAGGAGAGTAAGTTAACAGGATTTGGCTCTAGCGTAATTTAGAGCTTGAATTCGAAAAATGATTAAATATATCTAGAAGAGTTTGTAAAAGAGGTTAGAGGTTATTCTGAATACATTATGGTAATTTTGTCCTAGGACCCTTCTTTTTTCCCTACTTATTATAGGTGGTATCCCACTATATGACATTAGTTTATCATTTATTATTTTAAATAAATAATCAATAAACTAATGTCTCTGGCGTCAATTCTATAATATGTGTATGAATACGTATAATTGTAATTTTTTTGATTTCATTCATTTTACTTTAGAATTTTTCTGAACTTTTGCATTCCTATTTCTTAATTAGCCCAGAATTATGCACACTAGCCTAAATTATATATACAGTACTTTAATTTTCTATAAAATTTATTGTCGCAGTATTGTGTGATATCTATGTGACTAGTAATTGGATATGTAGTGATCGAATACTGTGATTGGAATTTGCATGAATAGCATGATCATGATTTAATTAAAAGTTTAAAATATTGATGCATGAGCAATGAGAAAGTCTGTAATGAGCAGTGACGCAAATATGTATTAGTAATTAATATATTTAAGATATTGATTCTAAAGAGAAGATACCAGAAAACTTTGATTTCTAATATCTCTTTGAATAATTTTCAGTGAATAAACTGTTTTATCTGTGTGTATACATTATTAGTAGTATTATCTTGTACTATACTCCAGTCAGCGTTTAATAGCCAAGCGAGTTAAAGACCGATAGTAAAAATCTACAAATACACGATAAAAATGCATATAATTCCGTGTATGAATATGTATGATTAATCATGAACATGGATGAAACCTATCTTTATGTATAACTAAATAAGTCATATAAATTTCTTTTAGAGTAAGTGAGGAGCTAATATAGAAGAATGACTCTATTAAAAGGATATGCAAAATTAGAGGGTTAAATAATGTAATAAGAGATAAAAAGGCTTTAAATTTGGGAAAACTACATGTCACGTGAACAAGGTACTGAAATAAAACGATAAAGAAAATTCTGTATAAGCTGATTTGAAATTAATTAACATGGAGTGTTGTGCTTTATAATGTAAGAAATATTTCTGAACTTTCTATTTCAGGTAAATATCTAGAAGTTTTTGGGAAAAAGAACCTGCAGAAAACCTATCTTCAAAAGTATCATTGATGTCAAAACTCTCAAAGTTTTCATTAAAAGAATTATTTTTTCAAGTAAAATTTTTTCTTTATCAGTTTTATTAAAAGAATTATTTCTTCGGAAAAATTTTCATCCTCAGAAGAGCTAATAATCGGTAAAATAGATTCCTCATCAGAATTAATATCATTCAAAGGTATTCTCAATTCATTAAACATTTTTAAAAGCGATTTTAAAAAAAGAAAAAAAAACATCATTACGATCATTAAATTTTGCTATTTAATAGCCATATTGGAAACAAATATTATAAATACTGAATATCAAATTTTATAAAAATTGGACCCGATACATTACTTTTCTTTAAAAATCGCATTTGCATAAATTTTATATACGTTTGTATACTATACATAATATATTAATTTATACGTAATAGTAATCTCATTAACTATACAAATGTGTTTGCTAATTTAGCATATTATACTCTACTGCTTTGCTAAACCATACTCTACTATTCATATTATCATTTTAGTAGGTCTTATAGTTCTAAATAGAGACCCAAAATTTCAGCATCAGCTGCGACAATTAATTCTGTTTCCCAGACTTCCATGTATTGTGTTAGTAACTCTTATTAATTGAAGTTATCTATTACAAGTATAAATTTTTTTACTATACATTATACTATGTGTATAATTTTTTTTATCGAATGTATAATAAATTTATATTTAATGTATAAATCAAACAATAAGTATTATACTATACTCCTTTGACCAACTATACTATACATGTTATCGTAATACCTCATCACAATACAATTACGTAAGTATACTCAATTTTCTTCAGTATACCAAACTGTAGTTAGCAGATCAAACCATTGCTATCTCTAATTTTTATTATCTAAAAATCAATTTTCGATTGTCATTTTTTTAAAAAAATATGTATTCAATCAAAGAAACCACGATCGTATAATAATTTGGTATCATCAATGACTAAAAACAATGTAATATTTAAAAGACATACAAGAGTTCGACCCAAAGTGCCATGCTACTGTAAATTATGTGACAGTAAAATGGTAGATACAAGAACCAGGGTGGCGCATAAAGCGATGGAGAAGCTAATTTTCAATTTATGAGAAGAAAAAGGTAAAGAAAAAAATAATTAAATGCTAGTCTGTATTTCTGTATTCCTTATTTAAAAAATCAGTCTAAAATTATTTCAGCAAATACCTATGAAGATGACAACGAATCTGAACAGCAAACTTATTTATTGGACGATTCATCTGACAATTTGTCAGATGAAGATTTTGAACAATTTGACGATGAGTTTAGTTCAGATAATGATAACTCCAATGAGCCAGATCATGACTGGATTTTAATTTGAGCATTCAAGTTTCAAGAAAGATTCACGCTTTCAAAAGTCGGGGTTAACTCATTAATATTCTTCTTAAAACTTCTTTTGTCATATTTGGATAAAAAAAGATTTGAAAACTTTCCCTCAAATGCCAATAAAGCTAGAAAATTTTTAAAAATTAAAAAAAAACACAACTTGTCTTAACTGCAATAAGTTGTATGATATTGATACCATAGTTTCAAAAAATGCAGATGCTAATAGTCCAGGGTTCAAATGCACACACACTGAATTTCCTGATTATCTATTACGGTCTAAACGTGAGTCTGAATTGTTAGTTAAAGTACCAGTAACTGATAGGTATATTTGGCGTCCTAAAATGGTATACCCATTACCATGTTTAAGAACACAAATATCCATAATGTATTAAAGGCCAGGTATGTTAAATATTGCTGCTTTTATAAGTTGAAATATAGGAGAACAACTTGTTTTATACATTCTTTTAAATAAAGTTTTCTTTTAATTATACCATAATTAAATTATAATTATAACTATCATATCAGAATTCGAGGAACTTTTGTATAAGTGGACTAATCGAGACAGCGAGTCTTACTTAATATCTGATATATATGATGGTGAAATTTGGAAAACCTTCCCATCTGATAACAATTTGAAAGAATTGAGATTTTTCACACCTGAAACTGCTGATTCACATCTGGGCATAATCATCAATATGAACTGGTTCCAGCCTTTTGACACAGCTTCTTATAGCAGTGGTACAATATATGGCGCAATTTGTAATTTACCATGGAAGATCTGATTTAAAAAGGAAAATATGTTACTTTTAGCTCTTCTACCAGGACCAAAAGAAGTCAAGTTACATTGGATTAATAATTATCTCGCTCTGGTAGTAGATAACTTGTTGAAATTTTGGAGAGGAGTTGATTTATCAACAACTCACAAGTATCCTTCTAGAAGGAAGATTTGAATGGCTGTAATTTGTTGCAGGTAATTAAAAATCTCATTATCCTATTTCTTAATACATAAATACCATTAGATCTCTCAAAACCGATATACATGAACAAATTTTGTATCAGCATTGAGAGGATATCAAATTTCAAACCATTGAAAATTATTAGATTAATTGTTATGGCAAAAACAGACTTAGGTTAATTTTATCAGATTTGAGCCTACTAACTTTGACAAAATCGATTTGAGTGGTTTGATAGTACAAAAAAAACTAATTCTTTTTAATATAAATTAATATAAAAAATTTAATAATTTTAATTAAAAAAAAATTTGCACATAGTAAGTTCTATATTAATACTGTAATTATTCAAGTATTTGTTTAAAAATTAATATATTATTGATCTGGTGGACAAATTTTGTATTAACATTAAGAGGTATTAGCTTAACCTCTCAAATTTATATAACGGAAACAGATTTAGCAAACTAATTTTGAGAGATTCAATAATATTAGATGGTAAACTAATTTTGAGATTCAACAATATTAGATTTAGCTAAAACGGACTTAGTAAAATAATCTAATAAAAAATTATCTTACTAAGTCTGTTTCTGTGTATAAATCTAATAGTTTACAATATTTTCAAATCCAATAACCTTCCAATGCTGATATAAATTTGTCCACCATTTGGGATATAAAGAATATTATTTTTTAAAAGTGATGATATATTGAGCCAGGACAACCTGTGCTCTGAAAGATCATTATATAAACTGAATACTAATAATAATTTTTTTATTATTAATACTGATACTTTTTTGCAGAAGCAATGACATCCCGGCTGCAAGAAAGTTATGTGGCCATATATCAGCGTTGGTTGGGTGCCATAGGTGTTACAAAAGAGCAGGTGGTAAAGATAAAAAACTAAATTTTGAAGGCTTTGATGATATGAATAGGTGGTTTAAACCAAAAGATCCGATAGAGCACCGTCGAAATGCTCTCATTTGGAAGAAACAATTGACAGAAGATGACAAAAAAAAGCATGTTAGTAGGACTTATGTAAGATAGTCCGAAATGCTTCATCTACCTTACCACAACCCAATAACACACTTAATAATTAACCCAATGTATTGTTTGTTTTTGGATGTAGCATGTTGGTTTGTGAAGAGACTGTTGATTGAAGGTGGAAAAATTTCAAAGTCTAGTCTTGAATTGATGGAGAAACAAGCACAAAATATTAAAGTGCCAACTGATATCGGAAGAATCCCATTAAAAATAGCAACAGGTGAAGGATTTTCCAATTTTACTGCCGACCAATAGAAATTCTTCATCATGATATATGCAATTCCGTTAATATGGAACCTTTTAGATATTGAAAACAAAAAAATTTTATCTAATTTTGTAAGGGCATGCTTCTTATTAGTAGCATGGATTATTGATAAAAATATGTTGAATGAAGCACAAGATCGATTGTTACAAGTTGCTCGCCTAATTGAAAAAAATTATAGTCCAGGGGCAATTACTTTGAACATTCATTTATCTCTTCATATTGTCGAATATTAAAGGGATTATGGCCCAGTATACTCTTTCTGGTGCTATTTATATGAAAGGATGAACGGTGTTTTAAGTAAGTTTACACCAATTGACTCTTAATATAACTTAGATATAGTAATACTGTATATTGTGGCTGATGCTGGAAATCTTAATTATTTTAATATAAAATTTTTAAAAATTTTTAGGGCTCTTTGTTAGAGTTTTTTTTTAGTGTTGGGTTAGGGTTTAGTGGTAGTTTTAATAATAAAAG